CCATCCATGGCAAATTGTCAGATTGCCCTGGAAAACGATCTGAACGTTTTTGTGAGGAAACTTCGGCGGAATCGTATTTTCAGACTCTGACCCCATTTGGCTGGTAAAATGTTAAATCGGCCCAAACTCCACTCCAGCATTGTCCCGGGGCCCCGCGGCCCAACGGGAGGGCAACCGCGTCTTCCTCGACCCCCACGGTCTCCACTTTCTAATCCAGCGAGTTGACCGCCGCCAGCGCGCTGAATCACTATTATTTTGTATGTTTTCCATGCTCCACAAAAGCGCGCGCATCCTGCGTCTACTAACTACAGCGACCCGCGCGCACCACTTCGAGATCTGGGCAGGCTGCCGCCGCCGAGTTGTTTTTTGCAGCATGACCGCCGCCGTCGCGTTGAATCGTTTCTCTTTTGTATGCTTTTCTATGTTCCACAAAAGCGCGCACATCTTGCGACCCACTACAGCGACCCGAATTCACCACTTCGTTCGAGATCTGGGCAAACTGTCCATGCCAAGTGTTTTTTGTAACCTAATCGACGCCAGCGCGCTGAATCACTTTTGTTTTGTGTGTGTGTGGTTTTCCATGCTCCACAAAAACGCGCACATCCCGCGTCTACTACAGCGACCCACACCCACCACTTCGTTCGAGATCTGGGCAGACTGCCCACACCGAGCGTTTTTGCGGTAACCATCCCCTGGCTTCAAAATTGGTGATCTGCACTATATGCGAGGGAACGACCCTTGGGTCTTCGCCAATGGATGAAACCTCGAGCTTCGATCTTCGATCGATCCCAAGATGGTTCCAAGACAGGCTCGTGACCCGAACGGAGGAACGGCGCCGCAGGGGTGGACGAGACGCTTGTTTGTTAGAACAGCCCGAACGAAATCGCCACTCTCTTGGCGGCGTGACGCGCGGCCGGAAAAGATTACGTGAGGATTTCTCAGGCGATATCGTTTCTCCCAAGCGGCATGAAGATCGGTTTGAAAGTTTTATTCTGAGAAAGTCCCGCGCGAAATCGCCATCCGTGGCAAATTGTCAGATCGCCTTGGAAAGCGACCTGACAGTTCTTGCGAGGAGGTCTCGGGCGGAATCGCATTTTCAGACGCTGAGTTTTTTTGACCGTTATAATATCAAAGGGGGTTAGGAATGCATCTGAAATGCCCGACCAAATCGGCCCTAGTTCCAACATTGTCCCAGGGCCCCGCGGCCTAACAGGAGGCCAACCGCGTTTTCCTCGATCCCCACGGTCTCCATTTTTTAATCCAGCGGATTGACCGCCGCCAGCGCGCTGAATCATTATTCATGCTCCACACAATCGCGCGCATCCTGCGTCCACTACAGCGACCCACGCGCACCAGTTCGTTCGAGATCCGGGCAGACCTGACCGCCGCCAGCGCGCTGAACCACTTCTTTTTGTATGTTTTTCTGTGCTTCACAAAAGCACCCACATCCTGCGTCTAATACAGCGACCCGCACTCACCACTTCGTTCGCAGACTGCCCATGCCGAGTGTTTTTTTGTAACCTAACCGCCGCCAGCGCGCTGAATCAGGTTTGTTTTGTATCTTGTTCCATGCTCCACGAAAGCGCACACATCCCGCGTGTACTACAGCGACCAACACTCACCACTTCGTTCGAGATCTGGGCAGACTGCCCACACCGAGCGTTGTTTTGGTAACCGCCCCCTGGATTCAAAACTGGTGATCGGCACTATGCGAGGGAACGCCCCCTGGGTCTTCGGCAGTCGATGAAACCTCGAGCTTCGATCTTCGAGCGATCCCAAGATGACTCCAAGACAGGCTCGTGACCCGAACGGAGGAACGACGCCGCAGGGGTGGACGAGACGCGCGGTTGTTAGAACAGGCCAACCGAAATCGCCCCTCTGTGGCGGCGTGACAAGCGGGCGGAAAAAAATATGTGAGAAAATATCAGGCGATGTTGCTTTTTTTTCAAGTGGCATGAAGATTGGTCTGAAAGTTCTATCCTGAAGAAGTCCCACGCGAAATCGCCATCCATGGCAAATTGTCAGATCGCCCTGGAAGCGATCTGAAAATTTGTGTGAGGAAGTTTTGGGCGGAATCGCATTTTCAGACGCTGACCCCTTTTGGCCGTCATAATCTTAAAAGGGGCGAGAGATGCATTTGGAATTCCTAGATTGAACCCAGTTCCAACATTGTCCCAGGACCTCGCGGCTTAACGGGAGGCCAATTGTGTTTTCTTCGATTCCCACGGTCTTTTTTTTAATCCAGCGGACTGACCGCCGCCAGCGCGCTGAATCACTTCTCTTTTGTATGTTTTTCCATGCTGCACAAAGCGCGCGCATGCTGTGTCTACTACAGCGACCCACGCTCACCACTTCGTTCGAGATCCGGGCAGACTGCCACCGCCGAGTTTTTTTGCAGCATGACCGCCGCCAGCGCGCTGAATCACTTTTTTGTATGTTTTTCGATGGTCCACAACAGCGCGCACATCCTGCGTCTACTACAGCGACCCGCATTCACCACTTCGTTCGAGATCTGGGCAGAATGCCCATGCCGAGCGTCGTTTTGTAACCTAACCGCCGCCAGCGCGCTGAATCACGTTTCTGGTGTGTGGTTTCCCATGCTCAACAAATCGCGCACATCCCGCTTCTACTACAGCGACCCACGCTCACCACTTCATTCGAGATCCCGGCAGATTGCCCACACCGAGCATTGTTTTGGTAACCGCCCCCTGGATTAAAAAGTGGTGATCGGCACTATGCGAGGGAACACCCCCTGGGTCTTCGCCAATCGATGAAACCTCGAGTTTCGATCTTCGCTCGATCCCAAGATGACTCCAAGGCAGGCTCGTGACCCGAACGGAGGAACGGCGCCGCAGGGGTGGACAAGACGCGCGGTTGTTAGAACAGACCAACCGAAATCGCCACTCTCTGGCGGCGTGACAAGCGGCCGGAAAAGATTATGTGCGGAATTATCAGGCGATGTTGTTTTTTTTCAAGCGGCATGAAGATTGGTATGAAAGTTCTATTCTGAGGAAGTCCCACGCGAAATCGCCATCCATGGCAAATTTTCAGATCGCCCTGGAAAGCGATCTGAACGTTTTTGTGAGGAAGTTTTGGGCGGAATCGCATTTCCAGACGCTGACCCCTTTTGGCCGTCATAATATTAAAAGGGGTGAGAGACGCATCTGAAATCCCCAAATCGGCCCCAACTCCAACATTGTCCCGGGGCCCCGCGGCCAAACGTGAGGCCAGCCGCGTCTTCCTCGATCCCCACGGCATCCATTTTTTATCCAGCGGGTTGTAGGGTCCCTCAGCGGAACATCGGTTTCGGTTTCGGGTTCGTGTCGTGCGTGCGGCGAAGCAAAACTGCGTCGGCGGGCGAGAGGAATGATTCCGTTGTGGCTAGGGCAGGTCAAGACAAAATACCTTGCCTTTGGTGGGCTGGCGTGGCCAGGGGTGTCCCGCCGTACTGTCCCGCCGTGGTGCCCCGTCGGTGTGTGGCATGCAGAGATATAGCTCGGTCGTGGTTGCCGAAACCTGAGCTCAAATCTACTTGAGAACGCATGGTCGGCTTGGAGCTGCGTCACAGGGCTTTCCGTGTTGGCAAGCCTTGGGGGCGCACCGCGCAATCATTCCGCAACAAGGATCAACGTTTCCCAGCCTCGCACCAAACATCATAAGGCTATCGTTAGAATTAGAGGTTCAGAGCATTTCCGTTGCTTGGGATGGCTTTCGGATTAGGTCGCAGCGAAGCGATGCACGGAGGTGCGCAAGGGGTTTGGACCTCGCTTCTTGTTGGAAAGCGCGGAGGCAGGTTTTGTTCAATCGCGATATTGCCGTCGTCGGTGCCCAGAGGTGTCAGCGGAGGCTTTCGTTCAAGCTATTCTTGGTCACAATATACCCTGGATGCGCAGAGTACTCTCGCAAACCAGGTACATACACAGAGTCATTCTCCTCCTGGACTTCGTCGACCGTGTCGTCGTCGACGTCCCCCTCTTTGAATCACCTCGCGATCGATTCATTAATCCCTCCCAGGGTCCAATCTGGCGGATTGTCCACCGTGCGTCGTTGTTTGCGGCCCTGGGGCACGACACGGGCGCCCACAGGCGAGCAGGAGGAGGGGTAAGAGCAGCAGCAGTAGTAGTAGTAGTAGGAGGAGGAGGAGGAGGAGGAGGAGCAGGGTTATCCCAAGATTCATCAACGATGTTGGGAGAAACCCTCCCTCCAGGCTCCCTCTTCATAGGCCCCTTCAGGGATTCATTTCCACTGAGGGAAGTGCCCCGTTGGGAGACAACCGTTTGAAGACCCTGAAGCGTGCCGAAACACAATTCTCTGGACTCCAACGCCACGAATCAACGTGACTGGTGCGTCTGGGCGATCCTGAGTCGTACCAGAACACCGTTCCTGGGACATCGACACTGCGAATCAACGTAACTGCTGCGCTCTGACAATCCTGAATCGTTCCAGAACACAATTTATAGTACTTTGACCATGGGAATCCGTGACACTCTTGCAAATGTTTGACACGAATGTGCGCGGCGCTAAGGCGAGAGCCACATTTTGAAAACGCCCCGCCCTCCATCTGTGAAAGGACGAATGTGCGCGTCGCCAAGGCGAGAGCCACATTTTGAAAACCACGCGCCCTCCATCCGTCAAAACTGTTGCAACTTTGTTCAAGACGAATGCGCGCGGCGCTAAGGCGAGAGCCACATTTTGAAAACGACCCGCCCTCAATTTGCAAAATTGTTGCCAGTTTTACATTTTCAGGGTCATACCCGTGAGGAAGTCCCAGGCGAAACGCCAGGCCCGCCCTTTCGACCGGCCTCGGGGTGCGACAGGGAGGAGTTTTTTTAGAAGGAAACGAATGGAGGAGGGGGAGGAGGAGGAGGAGGAGGATGAGGGGGAGGGGGAGTAGGAGGAGGAGGAGGAGGAGGAGGAGGAGGAGGAGGAGGAGGGGGAGGAGGAGGAGGAAGAGCTCGGGCAAGGAATGCCGCGGGTGCGGGCCGCAGTGCCCGCCGCAGGCGAGGGTCTGAAGGCGGAGCAGAACCAGATTGTCCTATGCCCCAGCTTCTGCCAGCGATGGCTCCTCGTTGGCCCTGGAAGCGCGGGGAGGGCCCGACTGGGGATGGGGAACTTCTAATTTGCAGCGCCAGCGGTCGCGGACGCGGGGGTCGAGACCGGCGGGGCGCGCCAGTCGCGGGGCGCACGGAGCGAGTGGAGAAGCAGAGGCCGCGGAACGGGGGGAAAGGGAAGACGCCCGACTGCTGGCAGTCGGCGGGAGAGGGGAGTGCAGGCGGCCTCAGGCATTGGACCCGGTGTGTGGCAAGTGCGACATTTTGAAGCAGGAAGAGCACGCTGTCGAAGTAGTGGGGTCCGGGAGCAAACAATGACACACACACACACACACTGTCGGAGGTCCGCGCGGATTTCTCGGATCTTCGCTGGAGCCACCTGGCGGCGTCTCCGGCGCCGCCCTTGGCGCGCCATGCGCGCTAAGGGGGGGGATCCAGCAATACAGCGCCGATCCAAGAAATCAGCGCGGACCTCCGAAAGTTTCGGTGTATGTAAAGTTTTGTTTTTCTATGTGGAGCAGCCTGGGGTCAAGAGCCATGTGGATTCGTGAGGATATCGGGGGGCAGGGATCGTGTCGTGGCGCAGGCTTGGGGTCCTGGCTTTCGATTGTGATGTTACGTTTTTGGTCGAGTTCAAGAGACTCCGACTCCCAGGGACCTGATGTGGAGGAGGCGGGATGGGTGGAGAACCCAACGGGACGCGCGAGATCCCAACCCGCATCATCGGAACCTTTTGCAGGGCGTTGGGGGTTCCGTCGGAAGCACGAAGTTAGTCGAGGGGATGGGGCAGTCTCGTATTGAGACCATTTTCGCACGACAGATAACCACGATGGGCTAAATAGTTGTTCTGGGACCTGAGCGTGGCAGGAGCGGTGACAAAAAGTTCAACTATACGTTTTCTGAGTAGTGGTTATATTTCGCCTCGGCGTAGCACGAATAATGCTTTCAGCTTCGAATGCTCACGCGTCAAAAGTTCGATCGTTCCTAGGTCAGGTGCGCAAGGAGGAGATTGGCAGCGTGCGTGGGCAGGACACGATGGCGATTCCGCACCACAGGACACTGACACACGTGAACAAGATTTCAAGAGCGTGTTTCGCTGCGCGCAGTCGCATTTGGGCCTCCCTTCCATTTCAAATACGGTCCTTTGCTAGTTGCTCGTGGTGCGTCCTAACGCGCGCCTCGCGTGCATGATCGGGGTCACGGAGGTCTGGAGGCCACCATCGGCGCCTTGCGGTCCACCAGCTTGGACGCTTGAACACTGGAGTCCCGGGGTGAGAAAGCAGGGGGCGCAGGAGAGGATCGGATCGACTCGGCAGGAGGACGCGTCAAGCATCTCAGCGCCGTCTGGGGCGCGCCCGTACGGCGCGCCACAAGGAGGAGTAAAACTCAAAAACAGTTTCTGAGCATGCAGTCGGAGCTGCATACTCTGGAAAGCCACCACGATCCCCAACCTGCCACCCGCCGCAGGAGAGGGGGGGGGAGAGAAGGAAAACGGGCGGGTGAGGGAGTAGGGGTGTGCAATTAAAAGCGCAGACACCAGCAATGCGATCGCTCATTGGGAGTTTCTGGGGGGTCTCTTAGGGCGTGGTGTGTCTCGGGGGCCTTCAGCCGCCTTCAAGGCCATGGAGGTTATCGCGGTCCGTCTTGGAGCCGCGTTGGAAGCGCCGTGTGCACTGGTACCCTCCTCGGCTTTCGGGTGGTCATCTGACGTCGCATGAGGGCCTTCTTGGAGGTTTCTCGGGTGGTCCGCAGGCCATCCGGCTCTGTTTCGGGCTGGTTTGGAGTTCGCGGGGCCTTTGCAGGCCCTCGGTCACCCGTTGACCCGCTGGATCTCTTCTTGGAAAGGCTGGTAACATGGGAATGCGTTCTTTCGTTTCGGAACCCCTTGTGCGCATGTTGGTGGGTTCTTTTCAGTGGGTGTTTGATGCCAGTTTGAGGCCGTCTTTGGGGCATGGGGGGGCCGTTGTTGGGGTCTTTAGGTGCCTTTGGGGGGCCCTCTTGGGGACGTCCTGGACCGCCTTCTCGGTCATCTGAGGCCCTCTGAGCCGTCTCAGGGGTCTCTTGGAGCCGCCTTGGGGTCGTTCTGAGCCCATCTTGGGCCTTATTGAGCCGTGCTGAGCCTCTCTCGGAGCCTTGTTGGGTATCTTTTGGGGTGTCTTGGGGCCCTCCTGAGCCTGGGGGGCGCTCTTTGGCCGGTTTTGGAGGTCTTTGGGGCCAATGCAGGGGGCATCCTGGGCCGTCTTCATTTTTGCGAAGCTGGGACCGACGAGAATTCATTAGTTCTTCAAGGACTTTCAGAACATGTAAGGTCTTTTCTACTGGTGTTCCTTTTGGGTGTCCTCATGAGGCCTTGTCGGGGCGTCTGTATGGCTTCCTGGAATGTCTTGGCCCCATGCTGGGCCGTCATGGCGGCCAGCTTGGTCTTCTTGGCCATGTTGTCAACTGTTAGGGCATCTTGGCGGGATCTTGGGACAATCGTTGAGGACGAGGACGCAGCTGTGAGGCCATGTTGTCCGTTTTGGAGCCCATGTGGGGCCGCCCAGGGACGACATGGCCACTGTGGCGCCCGTGGGTGGGGGCCATCCCTGACGTATTGTCATTGTTCCCCACCAGCCCATCCAGAAGCAGATCGCCAGGCGAGTTGCCTTGATCAGGGAAGTGTAGAAGAGTGCAGTGTAACAACCGCCTTGGAAGCGTTTTCTTGGAGGTCTCTTGGAGCTATCTTGGGACTACCGTGGGGTCCTCGCGGGGTCCTCGCGTAGCCTCTTGGGGCACTCTTGAGGCCCTCTTGGGGCTCTCTTGGGGCCTTCTTGGGGCCCTTTTGGGGCTCGTTGGGGGGTCTGGGAGGCCTCTTGGGGCCATCTTGGCCCCCACGACTCAAAAAGACGGTGAGGCTCAAACATTCGATTTGGAGGCCCTCTTTTGGGGTGCGCTCTCGTGGGCGCCTTTGGGCCCCTCTTGTGGCCCTCCTGGGCCCCTCTTAGGGCTTTTGAGGGCCGTCTTGTGGCCATCGTAAGGCTCCAAGGGCCCAGCAGACGTGAAAAGGCGAGAAGGCAAACCACATTGGTTTGCCGCAATTTTGGGAGCCATGTTGGCCTCTTGGAGGTCCTCGGGGGGCTCGGAGGGTACTTGAAACCGTCTTGGGGCCGTTTCGAGGCCTCTTGGATGTTTGTCGGGGGCTATCTCTAGTCATATGAATGTTTCTAGAGTAATATTGGAGGCCACCGTGAGCTCTCTGAGACCCTCTTGGGGCCATCTTGGGCCATCTTGGACGCTCTTTTTCCTCCCTCCCCTCCCAGGCTCAGGGGAGGGGGTAGGGAGAAGGGTAAGCTCCTCCCCCCGAGCAGGGGAAGGAGGGTTTTCTGTGGCAGAGAGAAGACAAAGTTCGTTCAACCACCTGCGTCCAGAGTGCTGATGAGATTCGATTGACAATGTGTAGGTATATATTCACGGACTCGGCGACAAAACTAGGAGTCACCATGAAGGCGCTCAGCTCACACGTGGCCCACGCACGTCGTCTTTGAAGGCAGCAGTCGTGTTCAAAAATTCTATAGGCTTAAGCCACATCCGCCGACCCCTTGTTTCTTGTGTTGCCGTGTCTGTGGGGGGCCACGGGCCCCAGGATTGGCACGCCTTGTGGGGCCTCTTTTGGGCCTCTTGGGGGCTCCTTGGGGCCCTTTGGGTGCTTCATGGGGGTCTCTTGGGCTTTTTTGGCGACATTGTGGGATCTTCTGGGAGCCTCAGTGGGAGGAAGGTTGGAATTCTCGGTTCGTGGTTCCTCTGTTGGACCCTTCTTGGGGCCGTCTTCAAGTTCTGTTGGACCGTCTCTGATGCCTCTGGGACCGTCTTGGAGTTCTTTTGGGCCGTCTTAAGAGCCTCTTGGGACCCTCTTTGGCCATCTTCGGGCGGCCGTGGGGGCCTTCGAGGCAGCTTTCTGAGGCTTACTGAGAGTGTCTGAGAGGCGAGGGCTGGAACTGTCTGTTCGGGTTTCCCGTTTGGGCCTCCGCTTGGAGTCGTTCTGGGGTCGTTTCATGCCTGTTCGGGCGCTCTCGGGCTGTGTTGGGGGCCATGTGGGCCGCATTGGAGCTCTCCTGGGGCCCTCTGAGGCCGTCTTGGACGCTGCGAACGCCGAAGAGGCGAATTGGTTAGAATAATTCTTTTCCGAAGGGATTCTAACGTTTTTTTCTTCTTGGGCCCCCCTGGGGAGGTTTTTCGAAGGCTTATTGGTTGGAGCATCATCGGAGCATCTTGGGCCGTCGGAGGGCAATCCTGGACGTGTTGGGAGAATCATGTGGTTACCGTCCGGAACGAGTCCGGCACCTTCGGCAAGCATTTCTTGGCCCTGGATTTGGAGACCTTGTGCGGGTTTCTGAACCGTGAGCTGTGTCATGGCCGTGGGTCCATCCCGGTATAATTTTGTGCCAGACTCTTCGGAGCGCTATCGAGGGAGTAAGGGGGGCAGTGTCAGAGTTCGTGGGGAGGTGTCTTAGGTCAGCGTATTGTCCGCGGGTGCCATTCGGAGTGTTCGCCGTACAGACGTGGGACAAACATCAGAAACAACAGTTCACACACGGCAGGCATCAGTGAACACACCAGAGAAGTGATTAGCGAATGGCCTTCGGTGCATCCCGCCACCGTGCCTGGGCTCGGATGGCTGATGGGGTCTCGTGGCATGCCTCTCGGGGGCGTCTTGGAGGCAATTTTGGGGCCTATTGGGGGCCTCCTGGGCGCCTTCTCGGGCTCTCTTGGGGCTCTCTGGAAGGTTTTTGGGGCAACCGAGGGGCGTTTGGGGGCCGAAGGCTCGAAACGTCACCCTCTGGGGGCCGTCCTGAAGCCCTCTTGGGCTGTCTTGGAAGCTTGTTGGGTCGTCCTGAGGCCCTTTTCGAGGTCTCTTGGGGAGCCCAAGAGGTGAATATGCTAAAACTATACGGTTTCCCAAAGGAATGGGGCGATGTCTGTTTCTTGGGGCCCACTTGGGACGCATCTTGGGGGCCTCTTGGGGCGTCTTGGGGACTTCTGAGGCTGTTTGGAGGCCATCTTGGGCGTCTTGGAGCGCTCTTTCGGCGACTCGTGGTCCTCTGTGACGTTCTTGGAGGCCTCTTGGATCCCTCTTGGCCCGTTTGGGGGCCTTCCAGGTCCCCATGAGGCGTTCGTCCTGGGCCCGGGGGGGGTGTCAAATTCCTGGTTTGGGGTCCCCAGAGGGGGGATTAAGGGGGGGGAACAATCTGACACGCCTAGAGACCCACAAGGGGTCGGCGGATAGATACAACGTGCGCCCTTGGTGCGTTTGAAGCGATAATTGTCATACGTGTGGTCGGCATGGACGATGGCATTGACATGTAGTTTGAAGTTGCACATGCAATCCACATCGTAGCTACACGGACCCGAGACTGAATTTGCATGCGCGGTTAGGGTGCGCGATTCTACACGTCTGGACCACAAGCAATATCAATTGATATGACGCTGTTTCCTCGCCGTCCTCCTCGACCCCTTCGCCGTCAACATCGATTTCCTGGTCTGCTCTCGTCGTCATCGTCCTCGCTCTTTCTTTCTTTCTCTCTCTCTCTCTCGTTGTCCGTCTCGTGGCCATCCGCGGCCGTAGCGCGGCCATCGGCGGCCACCTGGCGGCCGTCGGCGGCCTCAGGCGGCCCCGGCAGCGGCTCGTCCCCGTCGGCGTCGTCTTCGTCGTCCTCCTCCGTGGCCTCCTCCCGTCGCGGCGCGCGCTGCCTGGGCACCGCCGGGTGCGGCCCGAGAGGTTCCGGTCCTGCCGCGAGGACTTCTTCGCGCCCGAGAGCTCCGGGGCCGCGCCCCGCCGGCCCGCGCACCGAGGGGGGCGGCGGAGGGGCGCGGCCCAGATTCCTGACGCGTCGCGGCGGCGCGCACCACAAGGGGGTACGTATGGGGGGGAGGGGGAGGGCTTCTTAGAGGGAGGCTTCCTCTTAGAAGCGACGATTGGACACAATCTGCGACGATGGGATTCAACTTGCGAAGTCAGAGGTGTGGGACCACGTGGAGGGCGATTCCATCAATGTATGAGCGGGCCTCGGCCCTCCCGGCAGCTCCCTCGCGGAGCCTTGCGCCGGCTTCCGTTCCGTCCCGTTCCGGCCCTACATCTGTAGACAAGGCCCGCGCCTTGTAAGGCGCAGCCTAGCCTTAGCCTCCCCCCCTCCATCTTATCCCCTTGGTGCGCGCCGCCAAGCCTCGCGTTCGAGTTCGATTCTATTTTTGTTGTTTTTCGGCCCTTGACCTCAGGTTCGGGCCCTGGGGCCGTCTGATCGGGACGATCGAAGAGAGTGGTCGCAGAGACCGACGGCATGTCCTGTCCATTTTGAAGAGGGCTTGCTGTCGGTGTCTCCGCGGACGTTGTCCATTTGAGACAGAAGTCCGCCTGCCCAACACTGGCCGATGTCGGTGTTGGACAACGTTTGTTGTTGGGCATCGTACCAATGTTTTCCATACTTATTCGGGGAGTCCAAATCAGACCTCTGCTTGAGACGGAAAAGTTGCCAGGAGGGAGCTTGGGAGTGGTCTGGAGGACCGACTTTGAGCGGCTTTTGGTCGGGATCGGGGCCAAGGAGAGCGGATCATCGTAGTCAGCCCTGACGGGGCTCTGCCGATCTCCTCGGGTAGTAGGCGGTGACCAGGGCGCTGGGAGCCGTGTGCAGCCGCCCCCCTCCCCTCCCCCCCCCCACACCCCCTCCCTCTGCTGTCGGGTCTGGGAGCCGCTCCAGTGCCGGCCTGGGTTCGCGGCCAGGGCCTGGGCTGGCCTGGGCTGGCGTTGACCCGGCCCAGGCCGTCCCCGACCGCGCAGCCCCCTTGGGAGTCTTCCCGGGTCAACTCCGTGACCTGGCTGCCTTCTCCCTCCTCTCACCTCTAGCTGGTCGGGGCGCAGCGGCAGTCAGGGAGAGGGGCGGAGGAAGCGCGGCTGATCTCTCTCGCCTCCGTGCTGTTGCTGTTTGTTTGTCTTCGCCACGTGTGCAGTGGCCATGTCGTCCATGCTCGTGTGTGCCGCTCGTGCCGCTTCCGCTGCTCGAGCCTCGGTGCAGCCAGTGTGTGTGTGTGTGTATGTGTATGTGTGTGTCACAGATGGTGCTTGGCAGGGGGACTAGACATAGACCTCCTTCTGCTAATCATCCTGGAGGTGGCCCCCAACTACGATCAGATTTGGACCGCGTACTACTCTGCTGGCATACGCGAGATGATGCAAGCAATTTGGATCATTGGATCATGACTGTGGTAATCCGTAAGGGCTTCGCCCCCTGCCGCCGGCCCCCTCTCTATCCTAATCGGATATACAAGAGTCGCGTCGGTGCGTCTCGGCGCTGCCTTGGCGCATCTGGGAGCAGCATGCGGGGGCGGATAGGAGTCATCAGCGCATATTGAAACGTTGGCGTTGTCGAAGACGCCTACGGCGAATCACCGCCGCCCCCTGCCTTTTTGGAAGCGCCTGCGTGGCCGACAGTTGGGTTCGAGCTTGGCCAAGCGGGCCACGCGTTCCCCGAGTGGGTTTCGAACGCCTTCGGGGAAGACCGAGTCGGGCGAGCTATCGGACCAGATAGATTCCGAGCTTTCGGGCTTCCTGGAGGACGTCTTGGAGAGGTCTTGGGCCGTCTTGGAGGCCTCTGGCTGGCCGTTTGGGCAGTCTAAGGCCATCTTCAGGCCGTCTTGGTTGCATATTCGGGCCATCTTAGCCGTCTTGACGGCCATCTTGGGCGTCTTGGAGACATCTTGGAGGCCATCTTGGCCGTCTTGGAGGATATCTTGGGCGTCTTGCGGGCCTCTTGGGCTGTGATGGGGCCATCTTGGAGGCCTCTTGGGCGCTCTTGGGTCGATGTTGGGGGCCGCTTGGGCCGTAGTGGGCCGTCGGAGAGCTGAAAAAGAGCAAAAGAAACAATCCCTGAAATACCTGAGGCACTTCAATGACTTTGGCCCTTTTCGGTCCTTCCTGGAAGACGTCTTGGAGGGCTCTTGGGCCGTATTTGAGGCCTCTTGCGGGTCTACAGGGTGAGGCCAGCTTGGGCCGTCTTGGTTGCATCTTCGGGCCATCTTAGCCGTCTTGACGGCCATCTTGGGCGTCTTGGAGGCATCTTGGAGGCCATCTTGGCCGTCTTGGAGGCTATCTTGGGCGTCGTGCGGGTCTGTTGGGCCGTCTTGAGGTCTTTTTGGGGCCCTCTTGGGGGCCTCTTGGGCTGTGATGGGGCCATCTTTGAGGCCTCTCTGGCGCTCTTGGGTCGATGTTGGTGGCCTCTTGGGTCGTCTTGGGCCGTCGGAGAGCTGAAAAGCGGCAAAAGCCACAAACCTTCAAACACCGAAGGAAAATCAATGATTTGAATTGTGCGGGGCTTTCCTGAAAGACGTCTTGGAGGGCTCTTGGGCCGTCTTGGAGGCCTCTTGCAGGCTTTTTAGGCAGTCCTGGGCCATCTTGAGGCTATCTTGGGCCGTCTTGGGTGCATCTGGAGACCATTTTAGCCGTCTTGGAGGCCATCTTGGCCGTCTTGGAGGCATCTTGGAGGCTTTCTTGGCAGTCTTGGAGGCCATCTGGGGCTTCGGGGCCTCTTGAGCCGTCATGGGGGCCTCTTGGGCCGTCTTGGAGGCTTCTTGGGCACTCTTTGGGCGATCATCATGGCCTCTTGGGCCGTCTCGTGCCGTCGGAAGGCCGAAAAGAGCAAAAGCCAAAACCGATGGCTGTGCGGGCACTTTCATGACTTGTGAGCGTTTCGGCGATGTATATTTCCATAGCCGCTCCTCTGCTCGAGTATTTTGGAGGACATGCATGTTTCCCGCCCTGCTGGGGAACGCACGCTTCAGGATTTTGCTCGGGCTTTCGGACATAGCTCACTGGCTGCCATCGCGGGGCAGGCGACGTGCCCGAGGCCCCCTCCTTGTCCCGCCTGCGAGCTGCGCTGCGGTGAGGCAGCGGCCTGCGACCTGAAGTGCCCCGAGGTGAGCTGCACGAGCCGGACGTGCTTGGCGGAGGCGTCATCCTGCCCAGCGCCCGTGCCGTGCGAGAGTGTGTATGCACCGAAAAGGCATGCGTACGAGTGTTGGCCGGCGTGGCTTTCGGTTCTTTCTTAACCCTGCTGGGACAGAGGGTTGCGGGTCACAGCTTGAGACATGCTGCAGCCGCGAGCCCCTCGAGTGGGAAGCGAGGCGTGGCGGAGTACCCTTCGACCGGGGACTCCGTCTGCTGGTCAAGTACGACGAGGACCTGGTGCACGAGCGCGTCCTACTTTGGCTTCTCTCCGCTAGACATTGGACAGTGTTGACTCCAGACGACGACATCTATGACGAAATCCTGGATGGGGACGACATTGAGGATATCTACCCTGTGCGACGGGGAGGACGCCTCCCTGCCAATCTGGAGCTCTTGACATACCGTTTCCGCGCAGGGCTGGAGGGAGAGGCGGTGCGTCTTGCTACCCGTGAGGGACATGCTGAGGCGGGGCGATTGCATGCAGGAGGTTCGCCCGACCTGGTGAAGGCCGAGGACGTGCGTGGCTGGCGCGATTGGGGAGGCGCCGAGTTCCCTCTTGGCGATCTGCGGGGACCGGAAATGGCCCCAGGAGCAGGAGCACCTGAGCGAGCTGTTCTCGACGCTGAGCCAGGTTCAGCGTGGGTCGCGGCTGCCGAGGCGCCGAGCTTCTCCCTGGGTCAGCGTGTCAGCGGTGGCAAGTTGGCGGCGGTCGGCCTGAAGGGGCTCTACCGTTTGCGTGCCTCGGGTGGTATTGAGGAGGTGGTGCTCGCGGAGAAAATCCGCGAGGGTAAGATCGGCGTCTACGCCCGATTCGCGGCGGGCCGCCATCCAGGCTTGGGCGGGAGGAGTTGCCACCCCGCGAGGTGATTCTGGGCAGGGGCTCGATGGGGCGAAGGATGTCGGCGAGAACGAGGATGGCGCTGGCGGCGTTGTACGACGAGCAGGGCGAGAGGTGGAGGCCCTGGCGGCGCGTCGCCGCCTCGGCGTCTGAGAACTTCTGCGAGGACTGGCCCATGGAAGGCCTTAGGACCACTCAATGGCTGCTGAAGCACGGGGGGCGAGCTGGAGGCAGCCCGACGCAGTGGTACCATCGTTTCTTGGCCGAGTCGAAGATTGCTCTCCTTCATCGTACATCTTACGAGTTGCAAATCACATGCAGGACTTTCAAGTATGCTGGTTCATATGATCGGTTGAATATTCCGTCACTGTCGTGCTCCGAGGCGCCCCCGAGACGGCGGCGGCTTCTCTTGGGCGCCAATTCCCGCGACCCAGGAGATCCCAAGTCTGAAGACGTCGAGGTCTGGATGGGTGCGCAGCAGCGCACTCTTGGGATTGCTTCTTCGCCGTCAGCGCACATCGCTAAGCGGGCGAAGAATCGGGCCGAGAACGAGACGGCCAGACAAAAGGCAAGGGAAGCTCGGGGCCCGAAGACGCAGCCCCAGCCTCCGAAGAAGGCGCGAGCCGCGCCCTCCCTCTGCCCGAGCCCTCGCGGGTGGATGGGGGGCTACGTGCGACCGAGGCGAGTGGTGATTTCCACTTAGTGGGTTATCCATCTACTGCCTTGCCATGCTGCAGGGTTCGCGGGAGTTGTTTTCTTTTCCCGTTTTGCTTGTTCCCGAGGTCGATGGGGCTCATCTGTCTCGGGTTTCGCGACTGCGCATCGGGCGAGAACGTCGTGCCACTTTGCGGGTAAATCATGCCGTGGAGTCGCTGCATTGGCTTGCTGGATGCGACGACACACCAAAGAGGTGCTTGCAGAGTCATTCTCATGTCTTGGGAAGGCCGACGGAGGCTACCAGGCGGAGCGCCCCCGCTGAACCCGTGCCG